AGAATGGCGTAAACCCGGGAGGCAGAGCTTGCAGTGAGCTGAGATCCAGCCACTGCACTCCGGCTTGGGCGACAGAGTGAGACTCCGTCTCAAAAAAAAAAAAAACAGAGAGAGAGAGATAACTTCAAAAGCTTCTATATACACACTGGGGCAGAAGTAAGGAACAAAACAGCCAAAGCCTCTGTCTTCATAATGTGTGAGCCACTGAGAGATGGATGGTTGGCCAGAGTCAGCGGTCAGCAAAGTGCCCTTGAGGAAGAGGGGCTTGGAGTGGGGTCTGGAGAAGGAAGCCAAAGCAATCCAGGCACAAAATCACCAACCAAAACCCCAAAGTGGGTGGGGGCAGAGACTGAGGAGGGCGTGGGTGGGGAGCACGTGGAGCGGCCAGGGGAGGTGGCCATGGGGAAGTGCTGGGCTTGGGCCCTGAGTCGCTATTCTAACAGCTTGGAGGGCAGCCAGGAGGATGTGGGGAGGCTTGTTGGATGCTCCACGATGGTCAGGGGAGAAGGCGGTGGGAAGGGAGAGCTGGGAAGAAGGGGAGAGTCAGACTGTGTTGAGAAGTTCAGAGGTGGATACCCAGGTCCAGAAAGCAACGGAAGACTTGAGTCTGGGTGGGGGACACACATCATAAGCACGAGCTGCTATTCTTCCTGGAGGTTTGTTTTTGTGATTTTTTCCTTCCCATGTTTTCCAAGAGGATAAGGTGGAAAGGGTATTAAAAAAAAGGACCGACTTTGAACATTTTCTGCCTTTATCACACTTCCGGTCATACAATCCTCTAATGATGACTACAGGAAAAGGAACAGGGGGCCTTTTCAGCTGGACCTTTGAACCACATTACTCGGTTACTCAGCCTTGGCTTTTTTGTTTTGTTTTGTTTTGTTTTTTGAGACAGAGTCTCGCTCTGTCACCCAGGCTGGAGTGCAGTGGCATGATCTCCGCCCACTGCAACCTCCGCCTCCCGGGTTCAAGCAATTCTCATGCCTCAGCCTCCTGAGTAGCTGGGATTACAGATGCATGCCACCACACCTGGCTAATTTTTGCATTTTTAGTAGAGACGAGGTTTCACCATGTTGCCCAGGCTGGTGTCGAACTCCTGACCTCAAGTGATCCACCCTCCTCAGCCTCCTAAAGTGCTGGGATTGCAGGTGTGAACCACCATGCCTGACCACCTTTTTTTTTAAATCCCAGCCTCCTCCAGGCTTTCGGACCCTGTCTCTGCATCTCTGGCAGGGCGAAGAGACAGTATAACGAAATGGCCAGGCCAGGCGCCTGTAACCTCAGAGCTTTGAGGGGCCGAGGTGGGAAGATGGCTTGTGCTCAGGAGTTTGAGATCCTCCTGGGCAACATAGCAAGAACTCATCTCTACAAAAAAAAAAAAAAATTAAATTAGCTGGGCATGGTGGTGCATGCCTGTGGTCCTGGCTACTCTGGAGGCCAAGGAGGGCGGATCACTTGAGCCTAGCGGGTGGAGGCTGCAGCAAGCTATGATCACGCCACTGCACGCAAGCCCAGGTGACAGAGCGGGCCCCTGTCTCTAAAAAATAAAGTAAAATAAAATGGGCAATGCTTGGATAGGGCAGTGTGGGCCAGACAGTACCCTAAGGCATTTACCTATCAGTGTAGTATTTAATTCACACAACAATCCTCAGGCCAGGCGCGGTGGCTCAAGCCTGTAATCCCAGCACTTTGGGAGGCCGAGATGGATGGAACACGAGGTCAGGAGATCGAGACCATCCTGGCTAACACGTTGAAACCCCGTCTCTACTAAAAAAAATACAAAAAAGTAGCCGGGCAAGGTGGCGGGCGCCTGTAGTCCCAGTTACTCGGGAGGCTGAGGCAGGAGAATGGCGTAAGCCCGGGAGGCGGAGCTTGCAGTGAGCTGAGATCCGGACACTGCACTCCAGCCTGGGCAACAGAGCCAGACTCCATCTCAAAAAAAAAAAAAAAAATCCTCGGGGTGGGTACTTTCATTATCCCCATTTTACCAAAGAAGAGACAGCTACAGAACCAAAGAAAAGACAGCTACCGAGTTGCAAAACCACTTACCCCAAGCCAGGCCACTGATAAGCAGCAGAGCTGGGATTGGAACCCAGCGGTTAGGGCCTAGCACCCTGCTCCTCTGCTGAGTGTTGGTTGAATGACTGCAGGTGAGGAGTGATGCACCCCCTCTCATCCTCTCCCCAGCCAAGCCCCAGAACCACGCTGAGGCCCAGGAGGTCACGTTCAGCCAGGACCCTGTGCCAGTGGCCCGCTGCATCTCCAAAGAGGGTCGCCCACCTGCCCGGATCTCCTGGCTCTCGTCCCTCGACTGGGAAGCCAAAGAGACCCAGGTGTCAGGGACCCTGGCCGGCACTGTCACCGTCACCAGCCGCTTCACCTTGGTCCCCTCGGGCCGAGCAGATGGTGTCACGGTCACCTGCAAAGTGGAGCATGAGAGCTTCGAGGAGCCAGCCCTGATACCTGTGACCCTCTCTGTACGCTGTGAGTGCATCGGGGGTGACCCCTCCCCCATCAAAACTGCCTACACTGGCTTCTCTAAAGCACTGTCTACATTGTCTCTGAATGTTGTCTACGTGGGTTCCCTGAAGCCAAATTCTGCACAACCTTCCTGCCATTGTCTACACTGGTTCCCATGGGCAAATCTACATACTTCCCCCTCATTGTCTACACTGGCTTTACTGGGTTCATGCCATGCCATGCCTAGTCTGTGGTAAGCTGGGATGGGCTTGCAAGAGCCAGTTTGATACATTTCTTTCCAATTCCACATCCAATGAAGCCATCTCGGTAGCTTGAAATCAACCTTGGGGAATGTTTACACCAAGGAAATTGGCAAACCCTAGAAATGGGAGCTTCTTTTATTCCCCAGAGAGTTGGTTTACCAGCAAAGAGCTGCCCCCAACAGTGTCTTTTCTGGCTTCCATGGACCCTGGTTGACACTGCCCCTGGACTGTCCGGGTCAATCATGCTGGGCCATGTCTACATGTCTACACTGCCCAACCTAACATCATCTCCACACTTTCTCATACTTCTGCCTTGACTTCCCTAGGTGCCGTCTATACTGTGTCTCCCAGAGTCTCTACACCGACCCCGATCCCTGATATTATTTACATTGCCCCCACCCCCGGGCCCTGTTGATCCTGACCCCTCCCACTGGGATTTTTGCTAGCTCTTCCAGAAACTGCCTATACTCACACCTCATAATATTACCCAGAGAGGCCACCCTGGCACTCTTCACACAGAATCCCTCAAATACTGGCTTAACCACCTCTTCCACCACTGTCCAAAATGACCACATACCCCAACTCAACGTTGTCTACACTAGCTCCCCAGGCAATGCCTCCACTTACACAGATTCCCTAAGCCAAGTCTACACTGGTTCCCCCAGACAACATGCATTATGTGCACCCATAAGTGCACCAGCTCCCCTGAGCCTCGTCTGTGCCAGTTTCTTCCCGGGACCTACACTGGTTGCCCAAACCCTGTTTTGACATCCTCCTTCCATGTCAGAAACACACACACAGGCCGGATGTGGTGGGTCACACCTGTAATCCCAGCACTTTGGGAGGCCAAAGCAGGCGGATCAGTTGAGGTCAGGAGTTTGGGACCAGCCTGGGCAACACAGTGAAACCCTGTCTCTGCTAAAAATACCAAAATTAGCTGGAAGTGTTGGTACATGCCTGTAATCCCAACCACTTGGGAGGCCGAGGCGGGAGGATGGCTTGAGCCCAGGACACGGAAGTTGCAACAAGCCAAGATCACCCCACTGCTCTCCACCCTGGGCAACAGAGCAACGTCCTGTCAAACACACACACACACACATTATTTGTAGTGGCTCCCACAGGCACTGCCAGCACTGAACAATAACTCCCACAAAATTATCCACAGTGGTTTCCCCGAACGGTGTCTACACCGACATCAGCATACACAGCCTGGACTGATTTGCCCCAGATGGTTTTGACTGCCATACCTCCTGCCAACCTGCCCCGTTTCTTTAGCATTCCTGTCCATCTGCTAACCTGTCCACCCACTCTGGGATTCTCCTCCTTGCTGATCCAGTCCCCCCATTTCCCGCAGACCCTCCTGAAGTGTCCATCTCCGGCTATGATGACAACTGGTACCTCGGCCGTACTGATGCCACCCTGAGCTGTGACGTCCACAGCAACCCAGAGCCCACGGGCTATGACTGGAGCACGTGAGTCACGTGGCCTCGGAACCCTAGGTCTGAGGGAGGCAGGGCTGGGGCCTGGACTCCTGGGTCTGAGGGAGGAGGGGCTGGGGGCTTGGACTCCTGTGTCTGAGGGAGGCAGGGCTGGGGCCTGGACTCCTGGGTCCGAGGGAGCAGGGGCTGGGGGCTTGGACTCCAGTGTCTGAGAGAGGAAGGGCTGGGCTCCTGGACTCCTGGGTCTGAGGGAGGAGGGGCTGGGCCTAAACTCCTAAGTCCTCCAGGATGAAGGGAGCTTGCATTTCGGCAATTTGGGGTCTCTAGGAGTACTTAGGTCCCTGCAGCTTGGCTCCTGGTGGGTGTATCTTCAGGGATGAGACCTGTGCTCCCCTCTCAACCTTGGTATCCCTCTCACCTGACCCCACACCCCTCCAGGACCTCAGGCATCTTCCCGACCTCCGCAGTAGCCCAGGGCTCCCAGCTGGTCATCCATGCGGTGGACAGTCTGTTCAATACCACCTTCGTCTGCACAGTCACCAATGCCGTGGGCATGGGCCGCGCTGAGCAGCTCATCTTTGTCCGAGGTGAGTGGGTCTTGGGGGCCGTGTGTGGAGACCTGGGTCTGCTCCCCCAGAGTTCCACCCTTCAGCATTTGGGGACTGCACAGGGGGAGGCTGCGCCGCCGGCCTGGGAGGGATGTAGACCCGTCTGGCTGAGGGGAGATGAGGGTTGGCCTTCCCCTCGTGGCCTCAGACTGGGATCTGAATTTGGGGTGTCAGGGTAAGTGAAGGCAGCAGAGTTGGGGGGTTGAGGACTTTGCTCGGGGTTCCTAGAAAGTAGAGGCCTGGCTAGGGTCCTCACAAAGAGACCTGAGGAAGCTGCCCTGGGCTCCGGCTCCTGAGAAAGACACACACCTAGAATCAGGCACGCAAACCTCAAAGAGACAGAAACCAAGAGCTCCCACCCCTAGAAACACGATCCGGCCCCAAGGCACGGAGCCAAAGAGGAAAAGCGCGAAGCCAGACCATCACCCAGTGATGGAAACTGGGTCAAACTCACAGCTGCAGAGCCGCACACCTAGAGGGAGGCCGAGACTGTTAACAGAGCCATGCTCCCTGGGACAGAGAGCCCCACGCGCCCCGGAGCTGGGGCCAGAGACCCCTCCTGTCAAAGCCACAGCTGGCAGGACCCACAGCCACAGACACTCCCTGTGCTGGGAAATGCTGTTGCAGAGATGCCTCAGAATCCAGACACTCACCTGGATAGTAACCCTGCACACTCAAACCCATTGTCACCAAGACACACACCCAGGAGGACAGTGGCACTGGCCAAGACAGACGGAACGAAGCCAGATGACAACTGTGACAACTGGAAACAGACTTTTTTTTTTTTTTTTTGAGATGGAGTCTTGCTCTGTCGCCCAGGCTGAAGTGCAGTGGCATAATCTCAGCTCACCGCAACCTCCGCCTCCCGGGTTCAAGCAATATCCTGCTTCAGCCTCCTGAGTAGCTGGGACTACATGTGCTCACCATCAAGCCCAGCTAAGTTTTGTATTTTTGGTAGAGACAGGGTTTCACCATATTGGTCAGGCTGGTCTCGAACTGCTGACCTCAGGTGATCCACCCGCCTTGGCCTCCAGAAGTGCTGGGATTACAGGCGTGAGCCGCTGCACCTGGCCAGAAAGAGACATGCTTAGAAACACCCGAGGGCAACGGTCCATGCAGCACACCTGTGCAAACACGCAATGTGCAGGCCCCCCAGAAACATGACCGAAGGTGTAGGGACAAACTCCCAGACAGGGGCTGTGCCTGTCATGGAGACAGAGTAGCCACGGAGGGACAGAAGCAGACTCCCTTACTGAGTCATAATCTTAGAATGCACACACAACCTTGCAGGGATACCTAAGGGAAAACAGACCCCTCTTCAGGAATCCAGATACAGCCAGGGAGATAGGGCACCCCTATGGGAAACACTGTCACAGACAGCAAACCCAGAGAGACAGCTGTCCCGCTCTGGGCTCACCTGATGCTCGAGGATGCGCACGAGTCCCTGGAGGGAGACATCACACAGACAGACACGCTGGGGGCAAAACTAATCCCGGACAGCAACGGCTGCCCACAGAGGAATGTCATCCCTCACTCAGACGGAAAATCAAAAGACACCCTGGGAGAAACCTGTGCCCGGGAACTCTCCCGAAACTCCCCGAAACTCCTCCGAAACTCTCCAGAAAGTCCGTTAGGGAGATTCTCATTCAACAAATATGTGTTTCCTGTTTGCTAGGCACTCTCGCTGAGGTTAGGAATACAATGGTGAATGAGCCACAGTCCCTGCCCTCAGCAGCACACCCAGGGGAGGGTCAGCTCCACCCACCCAGACAGACACCTGACTGGAAATACACCCCTAACCTCTACCCCAGATACACCTGAGAAGCTGATGCCCTGCCCACACACCCAGCAGGTGGCTCCAAGGTTGGAGCCTGCAGAACAGACGCAGTAGAGAAAGACTCAGTGCTGTGGAAAGATACCCCACCTCCCCACAACGGTGGCCACGGAGCCACCCCCAGACGACAACACCATTACAAAGACACGTGCCTACAGATAATGCCTGCAGAAACGTGCGTGCTCCAAGCACCCTAGAAATCCCGTCGCAAGCAGTGAGTGCCCCGACAGCCACAGCCAGAGGAGACACACTCAAAGCTCCTGGGGTCACTCTCAGAGGGTCTCTGAGCCACGAACCCACATCCAGGCACACACAGAGTCGTCACAGAAACACAGTATGGAGTCCACAGCAGCACGAACATAGGTACACATGCCACACCGCAGGACAGATCTATCTTTAGGGAGACTCAGAGAACATTTTATTTTTAATAGAGACAGGGTCTCATTATGTTGACCAGACTGGTCTTGAACTCCTGGCCTCAAAGCATTCCTTTTGCCTCGGCCTCCCGAAGTGCTGGGATTACAGACATGAGCCACCACGTGAGCCTGATTCAGAACTTTCAACCCTAGACATGAACAGACTCAGCTTCAAGTTCCAAAACACCAATGCCACCTCCAGAAACAGAGACAGACCTCCCGAGATAGGCTCAACCTGGTCCAGTTAGTGACCAGCACTTCCATTATGGAGAAAAATCTGTTTCACTCCTCAACCCAGCGTATAGCTAGAGACGTATATACCACCCTACCCCCCGCCAAAAAAGATTTTATCCTCCTCTTTTTTTAATGCTATTTGTGAGTCACTAAGCTGATTTGACAGCCCACTGGGTCATGACCCCCTGTTTGAAAACAACAGAAACAGATGTCCTTCCTGGGTCTCAGCTCCTCCTGTGAGTAGAGGTGTAGAGGTGCGGTCAGGTGTGGGTGAACCCCCACCCCCGTCTGTCCCAGTTAGGCCTTGCATGCAGGAATGGGGGAAGTGGCAGTGGGTAGGTTCTGGTTACATTGATATCTGTCCCTGGCTTGGGGCCCAGGAGCCCCATCCCTCCCTGCTCACACTTCCCTCCTCAGCACTTCATGGCTTCCTCTCTCTCCGCCTCCCCGCTCCCTCCCATCCTCCCTGGCTCAACCCCTGCAGGGAGCACTAAGGAAGTCCTACTGTCCCGGTCTATGAGAACCCCATTTTACACGCTGGGGATGAGTGGCCCAGAGAGGAGGCAGCCACGGCACTTGGAATAAATGCTCCCAGCCACTCGAGAGGGCAGAAGTATCAGGAGTCTGTGGCCCTCTGCAGAGAGCTTTGGGATCAGACAGCCTCCCACTGAAATCCAACTGTCCTCCCCCGAGGGGGTGTGCCCCCAAGCCTGTAGCTGTGTGAGGACCCCACAGCACATTCAGGGAGGGCTGCGAAGTCAGGTGGCGCCAGGGTCCCAGCCAGTGACCGGGCGGCCAGATCTACTGCATCCGAATAGCCAGCTTCCACTCAGCTACAGCGATTGCCAGACATGGGAGTTTGGTGTTGCCAGATCTGATCTTTTCCCCCCTAACAGAAACCTGGATTTTTAGGTGAAATCGCCTGATTTTTGAAAGGTTGGCTAGCAATTTAAATTTTGCAAAACGTGAACACCTGGGGACCACTGGTTGGCATCCCCTCCTTGTACAAAGTGGTGCTCAGGCTGTAGTGAAGGGCGGAGGGGCTTCCCCTTCCCCCCCACTCCTCTTCCTCCTCCATTCTTCTGCTTAGAGTCACCCCCTAATTATGGTCACTCCCGCTCCTTTCCTCCCCGCCTATCCTGCGTCTCCCCCACCCCCTCACCAGAGCTATCCTCATGACCTTGTGTCTCCCTTTCTCTCTCTCTCTCTCACCCCTCCTTCTCTCTCTCCTCAGAAACCCCCAGGGCCTCGCCCCGAGACATGGGCCCACTGGTGTGGGGGGCCGTGGGGGGGACACTGCTGGTGCTGCTACTTCTGGCTGGGGGGTCCTTGGCCTTCATCCTGCTGAGGGTGAGGAGGAGGAGGAAGAGCCCTGGAGGAACAGGAGGAGCAGCCAGCGGCGACGGGGGATTCTACGATCCGAAAACTCAGGTGTTGGGAAATGGGGACCCTGTCTTCTGGACACCAGTAGTCCCTGGTCCCATGGAACCAGATGGTGAGGAGGAGGAGGAGGAGGAGGAGGAGGAAGAGAAGGCAGAGAAAGGCCTCATGTTGCCTCCACCCCCAGCACTCGAGGATGACATGGAGTCCCAGCTGGACGGCTCCCTCATCTCACGGCGGGCAGTTTATGTGTGACCTGGACACAGACAGAGACAGAGCCGGGCCCAGCCCTCCCGCCCCCAACTGGGCCACGCCGGCCTAGGGTTCCAGACTGGTTGGACTTGTTCGTCTGGACAACACTGGAGTGGAACCCTGCCTCCCACTTTCCTGGGACTTGGAGGGAGGTGGAACGGCACACTGGACTTCTCCCGTCTCTAGGGCTGCATGGGGAGCCCGGGGAGCTGAGTTGTGGGGATCCAGAGAGGACCCCCACCCCCAGAGACTTGGTTTTGGCTCCAGCCTGCCCCTGGCCCCGTGACACTCAGGAGTTAATAAATGCCTTGGAGGAAAACATTGGGGGTGTCTTGTAATACATCAGACCCCCTCCTTGGGTGGTGGGGAAAGAGGGGGTGGGACAGGGACTCCTAGGTCCCAGGGTTGGGAAGAGCCGATCCACGTCCCCGGGGAATGAAAGCCTGGAAGGGGTTAGACTGGGGAAGGCTGTGGGGCTCGGACCACTTGGATCCTTGAAAGACGCATTGGACAGCCGAGAACCGCGAGGCTCGTGGAACTAGGATTCAGGTCACTGGACTGTGGGCTCAGAGACCTGGACATTTGGACTTCTGAGTCCCAGGACAGAAGCTGCCTTTCTGGATGGTGTGGCCAGACCGGTCGGAGTCCAGAGACCCTCGGGTGCAGGTGGGGGTGGGGACAGCAGGGGCTCAGTCAGGTTCCCTGCGTCCTGAGAGAATGGGAGGCCAGAGGGCTGTGATCCAATGGAGCCTCAGACCTCAACTCCCCCAGGTTGCTGGCGGTCTCGGGAGGGGAGGGCTGCTCCCCACTCCCATTCTTAGGGACCCTAAGGGCATGGGGCAGGCGAGGGGTGCTGGAGAAGTCCCATCTCTGGCCACCCCCACTGTGGCTTCCCTCATCTGCTTCTCCATCCTTGCCCCCAGGGATCACCCCAAGGGACTTTTCAGTGACTCCTTGGGAGTGGCAGCAGCTCCCTCCAGCGCCTCTCAACTGGAAAAGCAAAGATAGAGGGGGTCCTTGAACTCCCAGGCTCAGTAAGGGGCAGGTTTTTACCCGTGTCACCTCTGCTCTCCCAAGCCTCTGTGCCTCCTCTGTAACACGGGGCGGGTGTTCACATCGGCCTCACAAGGCTGTCACGGGACCCAGTAAGGACATGCCCATGATGCCCTCATGCAGCCTCGTCGACCTCCACAGACCCCACCAAGCCCTGTGCCAGGCGGTGCTGGGGCTGCAGCTATGACCTGCACAGACCCAGTCCCGTCCTCCGGTGCACATTGCCATGATGACCACAAGAATAGCAGCAGTATGTTTAGGATGAAGCTGTGTGTGCGGACCGAGGGGCAATCTCTCTCTCACTCCCCCACCCGCTGAAGCCCTCCAGAGGATGTCAGGCTGTGGAACGGGAGCAGTGAAGATGAAGATCCAACAGTCCAGCGTCCTCTGGAAGCTTCCTCCTCATCTGCAGAGTGAGGCTGATGTGTGCGTGACCCCCATGGGCTCTTCCATACGTGTTATTGTCTGTACTTGCCCGGTTGTTTATTGTCTGTACTCGCCCACCCACCCCACCCAGGCAACAGGAGGGCAGGAGCGGGGAATTCTGTCCGCCTGGCACACAGTGGATCCTTCAGTGCCATGCTGGGTCGTCCTTACACACCCACCAAACACCTACTGTGTGCCAGACCTCGGGCGCATGGTCTAGGGTGAAAATTGGCAAGTAAACAGGTAGCTGCTCCAAAAACTCTTCCATTAGGGAAGACGTGAGATATGGAAACAGGAAGTGCTAGGAAGGAAGGAGAGGGCCAGGAGCACACGGGCTTCTCGACCCCTTTTCCTGTCTTGTGTTTTTTTTGTTTTGTTTTGTTTTGTTTTGTTGTTTTGTTTGGTTTTTGAAATGGTATCTTGCTCTGTTACCCAGGCTGGAGTGCAGTGGTGCGATCTCGGCTCACCGCACCCTCCACCTCCCAAGTTCAAGCAATTCTCCTGTTTCAGCCTCCTGAGTAACGCGCCCAGCCATCCTTTTTTTTTTTTTTTTTTTTTTTTTTTTTTAAGAAGCAGGGTGGTCTCCCTATATTACCCAGACTGGGCTCAAACTCCCGGGCTCAAGTGATCAATCCTCCCACTTCAGCCTCCAAAAGTGCTGGGATGACAGGTGTGAGCCACTGTTCCTGGCCCCCAGCTAATTTTTTTTTGAGATGGAGTTTCGCTCTTGTTGCCCAGGCTGGAGTGTAATGGCGCAATCTTGGCTCACGGCAACCTCCGCTTCCTGGATTCAAGCGATTCTCCTGCCTCAGCCTCCTGAGTAGCTGGGATTTACAGGCATGCACCAGCACGACCAGCTAATATTTTGTATTTTTAGTAGAGACAGGGTTTCTCCATGTTGATCAGGCTGGTCTCAAACTCCCGACCTCCGGTGATCCACCCACCTCGGCCTCCCAAAGGGCTGGGATTACAGGTGTGAGCCACCGCGCCCGGCCGGCCCCCAGCTAATTTTTTAAATTTTTTCTAGAGATGAGGTCTTGTGCTCGTCACCCTGGCTGATCTTGAACAATCCGCACGCCTCGGCCTCCCAAAGCACTGGGATTACAGGCGTCAGTCACTGCCCCCAGCTCTAACCCCTTTCCTGATAAATGGAAGGAGATTCTAGTCCCCAGAGGTGATTCTGGATCCCAGAATTCTGCCCCTGCATTCTCTGCTTTCTAGCCGCCCCGGTCCTGTCTCCTCTCATCTCCCCACTTCCCCGCCTCATTCTGCCCCAGCTACACGGTCTACTTGCTGTTCTTTAAAAACAACACAAGCCAGGCCGAGCATGGCATAATCCCAGCACATTGGGAGGCCAAGGCTGGAGGATCGCTTGAGCCCAGGAGTTCAACACCAGCCTGGGCAACACGGCAAAACCCCATCTCTACAAAAAATTAACAAACAAACAAAAAAAGCTGGGCCTGGCGGCACATGCCTGTAGTTCCAGCCACTCCGGAGGGTAAGTTGGGAGGATCACTTGAGCCCAGGAGATTGAGGCTACAGTTGGCGGTGATCATGCCACTGCACTCTAGCCTGGGTGACAAAGCAAGACCGTCTCAAAAAAAGCCATAAAGCCCCGCAAGCCTCCTGCAGGGCCTCTGGCTGTTTGCACTGCCTGTGATGCCCCCAGACACTCTCATGACTCATCCCCGGCATCTCTTTCAGGTCCTTGCTCAGTTGTCACCTTACAGTAAGGTAGAGGCCCCACTACCTTTGGGGACCCCACCTTGCACCTCCTATCACTTCCGCACTCTGTATTTTTGTATCCCCCGTGACTTACTCCCGTCTGGCATGTGAACTATTGTACTGGTTTGCTTACTGTTGGCCTCCCTGTCCAACCAGAATCAAAGTTCCATGAAGGTAGACACTTTGTATGTATGTTTTGTTCTCCAGTCGTCTCCCATGCGGGGCACACGTCCTCGCTCCTTCCTCATGCTCAGCAGTTTGAGTTGAATGAAAGAATGTCCCCCGCCCGTGGGAGAGGACATAGACAGGCAGGCGATGACTTGGGGTGGGGATGGTAGCTTGGAATACGGAGCTGTGGCTTCCTCCTGGAGACCCCCTTACACTGTCCCTCTCCTTGCAGAGACGCCCAACACAGCAGGTGCAGGGGCCACGGGCGGCATCATCGGGGGCATCATCGCCGCCATCATTGCAACTGCTGTGGCCGCCACGGGCATCCTTATCTGCCGGCAGCAGCGGAAGGAGCAGACGCTGCAGGGGGCAGAGGAGGACGAAGAGTAAGTGATGGGCCCTGAGATGGGGAAAGGGACAGGGGTGGAAGAACTGAGGAGTATGGGGTAGCGGTCAGGGTGGCAGAAAATTCTCCATGACTGTGTGAAACAGAGACTTAAAGGAACTGGGATCTAAATGGAGTAGGGAGGTATGGGTTTCTCTCTGCCATAAAGTATGGCATTTATTTTAAAAATCAGCCAGGGGCCAGGCACAGTGGCTCACACCTGTCATCCCGGCACTTTTGGATGCTGGAGTGGGGGGATCCATTGCTTGAGCCCAGAAATTGGAGCCCAGTCTGGGTAACATAGGAAGACCACCCCCCTCTACCAAAAAAAAAAAAAAAAAAACAGCCACGCATGGTGGCTCTGGCTGCTCTGTTCTGTGAAGACTCATCAGAGCCCAGGCTCCTACTACATTTTTGGGGCTTTTTTGTTCGTTTGTTTTTTGGTTTTTGGTTTTTTTTGAGACGGAGTCTTGCTCTGTCGCCGAGGCTGGAGTGCAGTGACATCTGGGCTCACTGCAAGCTCCGCCTCCCGGGTTCAAGCCATTCTCCTGCCTCAGCCTCCAGAGTAGCTGGGATTACAGGTGCCGGCCACCACGCCTGGCTGATTTTTTGGATTTTCAGTAGAGACAGGATTTCACTGTGTTAGCCAGGATGGTCTTGATCTCTTGACCTCAGGATCCGCCCTCCTCAGCCTCCCAAAGTGCTGGGATTACAGGCGTGAGCCACCGTGCCTGGCTGAGTTTTTAATAAAAGAAGAAAGTGCAGTTCCTAAATTGTTATGGAGAATTTACATTAACATAACATAAACTATTGATTGGTTATCCATTGCCTTTGTATCACAAATTCCAGAAACCTGAAGATAAAGAGTAACACTGGTCAGGCAGGGTGGGTCAGGGAGGGTGGCTCACACCTGTAATCCCAGCACTTTGCTTTGTTTTTGTTTTTGTCTGAGATGGAGTCTCACTCTGTCACCCAGGCTGGAGTGCTGTGGCTCCATCTCAGCTCACTGCAACCTCCACCTCCCAGGTTCCAGTGATTCTCCTACCTCAGCCTCCTGAGTAGCTAGAACTACAGGCTCCCGCCACCACGACCAGCTAATTTTTGTATTTTTAGTAGACACGGGGTTTCACCATGTTGGCCAGGCTGGTCTCGAATTCCTAACCTCAGGTGATCCGCCCACCTCAGCCTCCCAAAGTGCTGGGATTATGGGTGTGAGCACCATGTCTGGCCCACAATTATTTTAATAAAAAAGACAAGAGGCAGATCCTAAATTGTCGAAAATTTACATTAAAATAACATAAGCTATTGATTGGCTGTATATTGCTCCTTTTATCACAAATTCCAGAAACCTGAAGATAACCCAGCAGTTTGTTTTGTTTTTGTTTTTGTTTAAGATGGAGTCTCACTCTGTCGCCCAGGCTGGAGTGCCAAGGCGTGATCTCGGCTCACTGCAACCTCTGCCTCCCAGGTTCAAGGGATTCTCCAGCCTCAGCCTCTCCAGTAGCTGGGATTACAGGTGCGCGCCACCACTCCCGGCTAATTTTTGTATTTTTAGTAGAGACGGAGTTTCACCATGTTGACCAGGCTGGTCTCAAACTCCTCACCTCAAGTGATCCGCCCACCTCGGCCTCCCAAAGTGCTAAGATCACAAGCATGAGCCACCGAGCCTGACCAATCCCAGCACTTTGGAAGGCCAAGGCTCTTGTTGCTGGTGGTTCGAGACCAGACTAAGCATCAAAGTGAGACACCATCTCTAAAAAAAAACCAAAATTAGCCACGCATAGTGGTGCATGCCTGTGGTCCCGGCTCCTCAGGAGGCTGGGGTGGGAGGTCACTTGACCCGGGAGCTGAAGCCTGCAATGAGTTATGATCATGTCACTGCACTCTAGCCTGGGTGATAGAGCAAGACCCTGTATCTTAAAAAATAAAAGACTGAAAGGCCAGGCGCAGTGGCTCACGCCTGTAATCCCAGCACTTTGGGAGGCTGAGGCAGGTGGATCACGAGGTCAGGAAATCAAGACCATCCTGGCTAACACGGTGAAACCCCGTCTCTACTAAAAACACACACAAAAAACTAGCCGGGCATGGTGGCAGGTGCCTGTAGTCCCAGCTACTTGGGAGGCTGAGGCAGGAGAATGGCGTGAACCCAGGAAGCGGAGTTTGCAATGAGCCGAGATCGCACCACTGCACTCCAGCCTGGGCAACAGAGCGAGACTCCGTCTCAAAAAAAAAAAAAAGACTGGGCATGGTGCCTCACACCTGTAATCCCAGCACTTTGGGAAGCCAACGCAGGTAGATGACTTGAGCTCAGGAATTCGAGACCAGCCTGGGCAACATGGCGAAACCTGTCTCTACAAAAAAAATACAAAAATTGCCCAGACATGGTGGCCCGTGCCTGAAGTCCCAGCTACTTGGGTGGGCTGAGGTGGGGGTGGGGGCATGTGGAGGCTGCAGTGAGCTATGATCACACTATTGTACTCCAGTCTAGCCAAGAGTGAGACCTCGTAAAAAAGAAAAAAAAGAAGAAAAAAAAAAGAAAAATAGCTCAGAGCAGTCTGAGTTATGTGAGGTATGCAAAATTTGTTTTTTTGAGACGGGGTCTCACTCTGTCCCTCAGGCTGGAGTTCACTGGTACAATCTGAGCTCACTGCAACCTTCGCCTCCTGGACTCAACCAATCTTCCTACCTCAGCCTCCCAAGAAAATGGGACCACAGACACGCACCACCACACCTAGCTAGTTTTTGTATTTTTGTAGAGACAGGGTTTTGCCATGCTGCCCAGGCTGGTCTTGAACTCCTGACCTCAGGTGATCCGCCCGCCTCGGCCTCCCAAAGTGCTGGGATTACAGGCATGAGCCACCACGCCTGGCCCAACACAGATCTTTTCTCCCTCCCAGAGCTCACAGTGAGGCATGGTAATTATAAATAACATTTCAAGTACAAATTCAGTGAGTGCCCTGAGGGGGAAGTACACCTAGGTATGTCCATGTAACAGGAATTCCTGATCCGCTGGGGAAACCTGAAGGCTTCCAGGAAAAAAAGGAATTCATGGAATGAATAATAACTCTTACTCCAGGCAAGAAAAGGGGGCAGGGGAAAGGGAGACCCAGGCAAAAGGAACAGCATGTGCCGTAACGCTGGAGTCTGAGGGGTTCTCAGGTCTTAGTCTCCGCTTGACCTACTTCCTACCCCACAGCCTAGAGGGACCTCCCTCCTACAAGCCACCGACCCCAAAAGCGAAGCTGGAGGAGCAGGAGATGGTGAGCACTTTCCCTGGAGCCCAAGCTATCCCCACCTCCACACGCACCCCAGGGCTGGGAGGGGCCTTGCAGGGAGAGGCTGGCTGGGTGGTGGGGGCAGTTCCTGACCTCCCCGCCCCTCTCTGCTGCAGCCCTCCCAGCTCTTCACTCTGGGGGCCTCGGAGCACAGCCCACTCAAGACCCCCTACTTTGACGCTGGCGCCTCATGCACTGAGCAGGTAGGAGCTCATGGGAAGACAAAGGTGGGCTGGGGGTCTGGGTTGAAGGGCCAGGGGTCAGACCTGGCAGAAGAGGTCAAAGACTAAAGGTCATAACTCAAGGTCAAGGGTGTGTCCCTGGTGTGTTCAGGATTCCGTGGGGGGAGGTCAGGGGCGAGAAAGCCCAAGGTCACAAGGTTAGAATTTAAAGTCACTTGGGCGCGGTGGCCTATAATCCCAGCACTTTGGGAGCCTGAGGCAGGAGGATCACTTGGGGTCAGGAGTTTCAGACCAGCCTAAGACAACATGGTGAAACCCCATCTCTACTCAAAATACACAAAATTAGTCAGGTGTGGTGGTACAAGCCTGTAATCTTAGCTACTCAAGAGGCTGAGGCGGAAGAATCACATGAACCCAGGAGGCTGAGGTTACAGTGAGCTAAGATCACACCACTGCACTCCAGCGTGGGCAAGAGAGCAAGAGTCCATCTCAAAAAAATAAATAAAAACAAAAAAATAGAATCACCTGGGCCGGGCGTGGTGGCTCTGGTCTATAATTCCAGCACTTTGGGAGGCCAAGGCAGCTGGACCCCTTGAGCCTAGGCGCTCGAGACCAGCGTGGGCAACATGGGCTGCCCAGCAACATTGTGTATCTACAAAAATACAGAACTTACCTGGGTGTGGTGGCAAATGCCTGTAGGCCGAGGTAGGCAGATTGCTTAAGCCCAGGTGGTTGGGGCTGTGCCACTACATTCCAGCCTGGGCATCAGAGTGAGACCCTGTCTCAAAAACAAAAGAAAAGGAAAAGTCACTAGGTCAACAAAAATTGATTATCTGGCCGGGCGTGGTGGCTCATACCTGTAATCCCAGCTACTCAGGAGGCTGAAGCAGGAGCTTGAACCCGGGAGGCAGAAGTTGCAATGAGCTGAGACCATGACACTGCACTCTAGCCTGGGCAACAGAGCGAGACTCCGTCTCAAAAATAAAAATAAAAAAGGAAAGAAAAAGGCCGGGCGCAATCGCTCATGCCTGTAATCCCAGCACTCTGGGAAGCCAAGGCAGGTGAATCACCTGAGGTCAGGAGTTCAAGACCATCCTGGCCAACATGGTGAAACCCCGTCTCTACTAAAATTACAAAAATTAGCTGGGCGTGGTGGCAGGCGCCTGTAATCCCAGCTACTCGGGAGGCTGAGGCAGGAGAATCGCTTGGACCTGGGAGGCAGAGGTTGCAATGAGCCGAGATTGCACCATTGCACTCCAGCCTGGGAGAGAGGGGCGAAACTCCATCTCAAAAAAATAATAATAAAAAAAATAGAATGAAAGCAAATTGATTATCTACATTTACTGGATACCATCCCTGAAGCTGGGACAAGACAAATCAAGTCACTCCCCTCAGTGGTCTACTGGAGGTCAGGGGTCACTGAGGTTGTGCTCAAGGTTCAAAGGGCCGTTTAGAGCCCAAGGTTAAGTACTTGAGGCTGAGACTGAGGTGAAAGTTCATGGGGAAAGATTTGCAGAGATCGAGGGACAAAGGTGAGTCCCAGGATTAACAGGGTGAGTTGCATGCACTGGGCTTTGGGTTAGGGAAGGGCCGAATGAATGTCCCAGTGCAATATGACCTCATGGACAAGGAGTGAGGTGGCATCTTGTTGGCATGGGGAGAGAGTGGTCAGGATTTGGGGGTCAAGAGCAGATTGGTCATCTGTGTCATGCGTAGGAAGTGATCTTGAGTTCCTGTCCCCTCTCCACCTCCAGGAAATGCCTCGATACCATGAATTGCCCACTTTGGAAGAGCGGTCAGGACCCCTGCACCCTGGAGCCACAAGCCTGGGGTCCCCCATCCCGGTGCCTCCAGGGCCACCTGTTGTGGAAGACGTTTCCCTGGATCTAGAGGATGAGGAGGGGGAGGAGGAGGAAGAGTATCTGGATAAGATCAACCCCATCTACGATGCTCTGTCCTACAGCAGCCCCTCTGATTCCTACCAGGGCAAAGGCTTTGTCATGTCCCGGGCCATGTACGTGTGAGCTGCCACGCGCCTGGTGTCTCACATCTCACCTGTTGATCCCTTAGCTTTCTTGCCAAGGATCTAGTGCCCCCTGACCTCTGGCCAGGCCACTGTCAGTTAACACAAGTGCATCCCACTTGTGATTTCTACCTTGGTGGCTCCACTATGACCCCTAATCCATGAGCCCAGAGAAACTCACCGTGATAATGGAATCCTGGCAACCTTATCTCATGAGGCGGGAGGTGGGGAAGGTGCTTCTGCACAACCTCTGATCCCAAGGACTCCTCTCCCAGACTGTGACCTTAGATCATACCTCTCACCCCCCACCAATGCCTCGACTCCCCCCAATCACAAAGAAGACCCTAGACCTATAATTTGTCTTCAGGTAGTAAATTCCCAATAGGTCTGCTGGAGTGGGCACTGAGGGCTCCCTGCTGCTCAGACCTGAGCCCTCCAGGCAGCAGGGTCCCACTTACCCCCTCCCCACCCTGTTCCCCAAAGATGGGAGAGAGGGGATTCCCCAGCCCAACGCAGAGTTTTCCCAGCACCCTCCTGTAAGCAGAAGTCTCAGGGTCCAGACCCTTCCCTGAGCCCCCATCCCCACCCCAATTCCTGCCTACCAAGCAAGCAGCCCAGCCTAGGACCAGACAGGGTGAGCCTCATACAGACTGTGCCTTGACACCCCCAACCTTGGGAGAAGAATTTACTGTTAACCTGGAAGACTACTGAATCATTTTACCCTTGCCCAGTGAAATAGGACCTAAACGTCTCCCTTCGGGGGAAAGTGGGTCACCTGGATTGGGGGTAGCGATTGATACTGTTTTGTAAACTACATTTCCTACAAAATATGAATTTATACTTTGACCAGAACTTGCGTTTTCTGTGGGATGTGAAAGGGATGGGGTGAGACATGAAGGGGAATGAAGAAGGAGGCTAAGAGCTTGAGATAATCAGTGAACTAGGCGTTAAGAGAGTTAAAGACAAAAAGTGACCAAAGATACAAAATAAGAATTGAGAGAGTAATGAGCAAAAACCTATCAATCAAAAAATGTTGAGTAATGGAATGGGGAGGGGTCCAGGGCATGCTGTTTAATGAATATGAATAATTGCAACAGCAGTATGATGAATGGGACAAAGATAAAAAACAGCAATTGGCCAGGTGCAGTGGCTTATGCCTGTAATTCCACACTTTGGGAGACTGAGGCGGGAAGATCGATTGAGTCCAGGAGTTAAGAGACCAGTCTGGGAAACACAGTGAGACCCCGCCTCTACAAAAGTTAGCTGGGCGTGATGGCACGCACCTGTGGTCTCAGCTACTCTGGAGGCTGAGGTGGGAGGATCGACTGAGGCCAGAAGTTCAAGGCTGCAGTGAGCTATGATGGCGCCACTGCACTCCAGCCTGGGCGACGGAGTCCAACCCTGTGTCTAAAAAAATAAAAATTAAAAAAGCAGTATCGAAACTATGAGAGGCTCAAGTTTAAAGGATAAATGGCAAGCAAAAATAGATCAAAGGCAAAATCATGAATAATGTTGTAATAGGAGCCCAAGGCATGACGGGTAATAAACCTGAATGAAGGAGCCAGAGGCAGAGTGATGAATAATGAAAAAATAGGGACGGGGGCAAGGGAGGTAACGGACAGGAGTTCATGGATCCAAAACATGATGGCTAATTAGAGAAGGGCCGGAAGAACGACGAAAGTGAGCAAGCTGCTGGAGCTAAAAGTAGTCCGGGTAATGAAGCTCAAATGAATGGGGCAGAGGCACGATGGGTAATGGGAGAGGAATGAATGGGCCAAAGATAGAAGCCGCAGTGACGCGAGGAACAAGAGGCATGATGGGTAACGAAAGGGGTGGGTCTAAGAGGTGATGAGGGCATTGTGGGTAACGAGGAGCAGCGCAGGGTTCTGAGAACAGATTACAATTCTCCCGAGGCACTCTGGGAAGGGCCAGCACTTCCGGTTTTAGGTCAGCTACTCCGGACCAGAGGTGGGGTGCGTGCCCCGCTGCCGCGGTGCCTGGTGGGACGCGAGGCCTGACCTTGCTGCCTAGCCGCCTCTGCCGCGCAACCCACCTTTACCTGTCCTTCGACCCTGTAACGTTAGCCAATGAGAGTACCAAGCTGATACGCCACCAAGGTGGGCCCCCGTACACATTGGAGCCAATCAAAATGCTGCAAGGGTCAAAGCTGACCAATTATCACAGCAACTTCGCCGCGGGGCGGAATCAAAAGAGGGCCTCCTCCAGGTGATAGGCGGGGCGATGCCTCAGCGGGCGTGGCAAAATGCGCAGCACACACCAATGGCGGGCTAGCACCGGAACCCGCGGCGACGCGAGCCAATAGGCGTAAGCGCGGCGAGCCAATGAGAAGGGCGGGAGGTGCGCCGTGACCTGCCTGCGAGTGAGAACCAATACAAAAGGACAGTTAGGAAAAGTGGGCGGGACTTTATTCACAAGTCCAATGGGAAGACCGAGTCTTGACGCTGGTGGGCGGGCCTCAGGGCACACTTAACCAATGGGCTAGACGGGGCGGGGAGACGGTGGTGGCGGCGGCGGCAGCGGGTTCGGTTGCGCGTGGCGCACGGGGTGGGAGCGGAGCCCAGGCCGGGAGCAGGCGCCGCCGCCAGTGAGAACCGGGGCCCGGAGTCGGGTGGGGATTTGCTGGGGCTGAGTCTTGGGCGCACGGGCCCTGACCTCCGCCCTCTGACCTCTCCCCTCGCAGGCGACCATGGGGAATGTGTTGGCCGCCAGCTCGCCGCCCGCAGGGCCGCCACCGCCGCCTGCGCCGGCCCTCGTGGGGCTGCCGCCACCTCCGCCCTCGCCGCCGGGCTTCACGCTGCCACCGCTGGGAGGCGGCCTGGGCGCCGGCACCAGTACGAGTCGAGGTTCGGAACGGACCCCCGGGGCTGCAACCGCCAGCGCCGCAGGGGCCGCCGAGGATGGGGCCTGCGGCTGCCTGCCCAACCCGGGGACATTCGAGGAGTGCCACCGGAAGTGCAAGGGTGAGGGGCGACGGGCCCCCTCGGGGCTGCGATGGCCCGGATCTCGGGGAAAAGGGGAGGACACTGGGGACTTTGGGATTTGGCGCGCACCATTGGAATTATTCAACAGCACTAGGAGGTGACGTTGGGATCGAATGGTGGAACGTTGGACTTGGGGCTTAGAATGATGGAATCAAATGGTGGAAACGGGGTGGAATGTCATAGCAATAGAGAAAAGCCTTAGGGACCTCAGGAGCCCCGGGATCAGCCAAGCCAGACTTCTCTTGTTATCGGGAACGCAACTGAGGCCCAAGGTCACGGTGTCAGCAAGGTTCCGTGGGGGTGGAACCCAAAGCCTCCGGATCCCAGCCTGGAGCAATCAGAGTAGTAATAGTGGTAGAGGTTTATGGAGTTCTGTTTTGGTGTTCACTATATGTTAACTCATTAGATCCTTGGGCCAATTCTGTATGGTGAGGGTCCCATCTTAGAGATGATGAGTTTGACCTAAAGTTGCTCAGCTTGGTGGCAGTGAGATTTGAGCAGGCAAAGGCCCTGGCCCTGTCTAACTAGGCTGCACTGCCTCTTTACAGGTGGAAGCCTTTGTGAGATGTTCTGCTATGGGTCTCTGGAGAGAGCTGGGGACAGCAGGGAAGGAAGAGATGAGAGTTGGTGTGGGATTGGGGTGGAGTGTGACAGCGTTTCTCTTCTCCAGAGCTGTTTCCCATTCAGATGGAGGGTGTCAAGCTCACAGTCAACAAAGGGTTGAGTAACCATTTCCAGGTGAGCCTTCCTGGTGTCCTTACCCACCAGAGATCGTCCCCACCATCCCCCTCCCTGCATCCGCACACTCGCCCCCTTACTCCTCCCTCAAGAACTGGGCTCCCTGATACTTGAAAAGACTCGGAGATACAGTGCCAGACTACTCAGTTTGGGGACCTAGAATCCAGAGGTACTGTCTCCCATAGCAGCTAGGCTGGAGTCAAGGAACAGGTATGTGGGCCTGTTGGCAGCACCTCCTTTCTCTGAGTCTCTTAGTCAGGCCGTGCCTCCCAGTCTTCATCCCCTGCCCAGCCCAGAGACCTTCTCGTTGCCCTCTTCATTGGGCAAGCCCATCTGTCCAGCATCCTCACAGCCCTCGCTCTCCTCCCAGGTGAACCACACAGTAGCCCTCAGCACAATCGGGGAGTCCAACTACCACTTCGGGGTCACGTATGTGGGGACAAAGCAGCTGAGTCCCACAGAGGTGAGCTTCCTTTCTCATCCATTCATTGTATCTTTCGAATAACAAATTTGTGGCCAAATGCCAAGCTAAGACTGGCATCATCAGGAAAAGGTCACAGCTGCCGAGAGCTTGGAGATGGGGACTGCATCTCTCCGAGATGTAGTGGAACACGAGTAATTCCTTCATCCAGCAAACATCCGCCGAACCCCTGCTCTCTGCCTGCCTGGCTCCATGCTGAGCAATGCTGGGGGTGTGACCACAGCCTCTCTCTTGCTAGACAGCGATGACCCAGGGTGGAAAGAGCTGAGCTGTAGATCATGCAGAACTTTGAATGCCAAACTAGGCTTTGGACTTTCTCTAGGGGCTTGTGAAGAGTCATGGCATGGTTTGGTCAAGGGAAAGACGTGGTCCACAGGTTCCCTCTGTAGAAATCTCTCTTTAGAACATTTCTGGGGCGGCCGTGTAGGGGCTAGTTATTAGGAAGACCAAAACTGGAGGCCTGGACAGGGTGTGGGGGACTGAATGAGGTCTCTGCTTCTATCGTTTCCCTTCAGTAAATGAGTTTATTCTGCAAACCTTCATTGCACAACATATTCTGTGCCCAGCCGTGTGTTGGCACACATGACTGAAAGCCATGGGACTCACCAGTGGGGCAGAGGACAGACCTGTTCCCAGAGAGTAACAAGCCAGGATGGGCAGGGCTGACATGGGGGAACCCAAAGGTAGGGGAGCCTAACTCAACCTAGGTGGTCAGAGAGGACTTCATGGAGGAGGGGACCCCCATCTGAGGCTTTCTGACCCTAGGCTTCTCACCCTGACCCACCTCACCTGCTTCCACAGTGTGCGACCTCTGACCCCTGCCCTTCTCTCTGCCTCACAGGCGTTCCCTGTACTGGTGGGTGACATGGACAACAGCGGCAGCCTCAACGCTCAGGTCATTCACCAGCTGGGCCCCGGCCTCAGATCCAAGATGGCCATCCAGGTGAGTGGGGCACGGAGGCTGCTGCTCCCCTCGGCCACCGTGAGCAAGGAGCCGCCCTCACACCCTCTCCTCCCCACAGACCCAGCAGTCGAAGTTTGTGAACTGGCAGGTGGACGGGGAGTATCGGGGCTCTGACTTCACAGCAGCCGTCACCCTGGGGAACCCAGACGTCCTCGTGGGTTCAGGTAAGAGGCGGAGGGCTTGGAGAGTGGTCACAAAACTGCAGTTCTGGCTTTCGCAGCAAATCTACCCTTTCTGTGAACCTCCTTTTCTGCCATTGGAGAAGTGGTTGAGCAGGAGTGATTTTGAAACATCAGGCAATATACTATAGTGGGTGAGACAGTTCAGAGCCAGCACAGTCTTTTTTTTTTTTTTTTTTTTTTTTTGAGATGGAGTCTTGCTTTGTCACCCAGGTTGGATTGCAGTGGCACGATCTTGGCTCACTGCAACCTCTATCTCCTGGGTTCATGCAATTCTCCTGCCTCAGCCTCCCGAGTAGCTAGGATTACAGGCATGCGCCACCACGCCTAGCTAATTTTTATATTTTTAGTAGAGACAGGATTTCACCATATTGGTCAGGCTGGTCTTGAACTCCTGACCTCAAGTCAGGATCCACCCACCTCAGCCTCCCAAAGTGCTGGGATTACAGGCGTGAGCCACCACACCCGGCCAGTCAGCTAGT